AAGTAGGTCCTTACTAGAAAATCAGCGAAAGCGAAGTGGTAGATTTCTTGTGGGAGAATATAATTTGTAGATTTGGAATACCAAAAGAGATAGCCTGCGACAACGTGCCACAATTTATAGGCGCAAAGATCACAAAATTCCTTAAAGACTTAAAAATCAAAAAGATCACATCATCACCCTATCACCCGAGCGCAAATGGTCAAGCAGAATCAACAAACAAGGTCATATGAATTGGAAAATCAAGATAGAGTAAAGTTGCCAAGCAACTAGAACGTGGCACACCTTAAGAGATACTATTGCTGATGAGCCTCGCCTATACTAAAAGTATGTGTTGCACTCTTTTTCCCTTCATCCAATTTTTGTCCTAATTGGGTTTTTCTAGCAAGGTTTTTAATGAGGTAGCAACGGAAATCATACTGCGAAAGAAGCTTCATCAGCAGAAATAAGACCTTTAAACGACAAGGCATGCAAGCAACAAGTCACTGCGGAGCGGTTAGATAGTCTTTTGCTTGGTAGCAAAGTTCCTACCGGGAAATAAAGTTTGTTGTCGGACAAAGATTACCCGACCATTCACAAGGTAAAGCCACTATGGATTGTTAGATAATCTTTGGCTCAATAGCAAAAGTTCCTAAGGGGAAGTGAAGTTTGCTACTGAACTAAAGATTATCTAACCATTTACTAGTGGAATCTTCAAATGTGCAAAACTTCCAGTGTTCAAATTCGCATTCTTCGCATTCGAACACTGGGGGGGTAATAAGAATATGGCAACAATGACTGCCACATTGACCGGAACTACAAAATCTGGGAACAATGTTTTATCATCGGGACCGAGGACTGCGTGGTCAACCCCGTAAAAACAAGTTATACAAGTTAGCCACAAGTAATGGCAATTTCATTTTAGCATAATGAATGCTTATGTACTTTTGAAAATGGAAAGAATAAAGTAAAGTCCTTTTATTTTTATGTTGTTTCTTGTTAGAGCTTTTGAAAGTTAAACAAGTACTTCAAATACTAGTGTCGTAATGAACAGGAGACGTCCTCTTCAAGAGCATCGTAAACATAAGAGGGCACTCTCTTATGAAACCTTCATGGTAAAGGGTTGATTCCAGAAGAACTTATGCCCGGGATCCAAATGCTCTTGGAAAAAAAATACACCCAAAGCCTTGCACAATTCAATGCAAAGAGAAAAACTTGCGCCAATACTTAACGAAAAGTACGCAAAGAGGAAAACTTGCACAATACTTAAATGAAAAGGTATTTCTATTCACAGAAAACGTGCCAAATAGCACAAATAAAAAGGTATGAAAAAGAAAAGAAAGCAAAAGGTAAACTACTGCACCCCCACAATTCGAAGGAAGAGAAGCATCTGCACCCTCGGGAGAAGTCGGAAGATCCGCCACCGACCCAATATCTTGGCCTTTATCATCATCACCTTCAGGATCTTATTCAGTTCTTGAGAACTCAGAACTGGAACCAGAAGAGCCGGTAGCATTAGGCTGGATCGGAAGACCCCTTTGGGCAGTTGACTCCAGCTCACGGGCCTTGGCGATTTCTGTATCAAAGTCAATGATGCCCGCTTTGGCCTCTTCCAAGGTTTTTCTCTTCATGCTATACATAGAATATGTTTTTTCAGCAATGAGGGAAGCCACTCGTAGCTACACTTCTTTTTTTAAGATGGTCAACCTCAATTGGAAGGCTATCCCACTCGGATCTAGTGGCTCGGAGGCTGACATCAAGGTCACCGACAGTGGAGTTAAGAACTTTATTTTGCTCTATGACTCTCTTATGCCTCTCTTCCAACCGGGCATTCCTCTCCTCTGCAGCAGTAACTTCTTCAGGTTTGGAGATCAAGGCCGCCTCCAAATTATTAAATCTTTCCATATAGGCAGCCTCGCGATCTGATGCAGCAAGAACAACATTATGGACCTTGACCCACTTTGCCCTAGCTTCTTCAAATTGTACCCTTAACTGGGTAGTCTATTGGCTAAGGGTCATTACCTCTTGCTCTCTTTGCTGCAACCGAGCCTCATATTCAACGGCCTCAGCAGCTTGTGCTTCCAGTTTCGGGAGACGAGCGGTAATTTGGTCTCGCTCAACTAACAATTGATCCTACTCGGAGGTAAGTTCCTCCTTATCAAGAATCAACCTCTGAAGGCCCTCGTAAGCAAGTAAGTTAGCCTGCAAAACAAAAATGCAAACTCAAAACCCTGCCATACAAAGATAGAAGAAACAACAAAGGAAATAAAGATTATACCGTCGTTGCGTTGTGTATGGCATTGTTCAACAACACTCTCCCAAGAGAGTTTGTATTTTATTCCTATCTTTTTCTGAAGCCAGAGGCTTCAGATAATTAGCAAGTTCCACCGGCCGGGACAACATATGGCATCAGTAGAAACCGAGAGGGTGACGCTCCTCCTCCTTTGGGGATCTTCGAAGGGGGCATAATAATTATGCCCCAAATTCTCATGAAATGGGACTAGGGAAGAGGGACATCTTCCTCTCGGGCAACTGCGGTCGGTAGAGATGATGTAGCAGTTGCTGGTGGCAAAGGTAGAGTTGGTGAAGAAATAGATGAAGATGATAGCGTTGTAGGTTGCGAAGCAGCTGCGGCAACAACAGTGCTAGTTGTTGGTTGCTCATCAATTGAGGATGGGAGAGACCCAGTACCTAGCCTCATGGTATCGAGAATAGCGACTGGAACTCGAAAGTGAGAATTGGCATCTTCCACTACATTATACTCCCCAGAGTGCTGAGGCCTCATCCTCGGTTAGCGTGACTAGCTCAATAGATTGAGCATTTTGTTGAGCTGATGAAGGTTGTCATCTTCTATGTAGGGAAGCCCCTTCATTACTAGATTCTCCATCATCGTCGATCACCATGGTGTCTATGGCCGGCTAGATCACGACACTCATCACAACATCATCTGTGGACGGCTCGGGCATGCCACCCTTCACCTTTTTATTTTTTTCTCGCTCGCGGAGGAACGTCGCTTTTTTAGTCGCTTGTTCTCCGGCCGTGGACTTCGAGAAGAAGCACTTGCACCAGAAGCGGGCTTGGAGACACCTGTTTGGGTGAAAGCCTCTTGTAGTAGCCTCGCCGCGTCAGCCGGATCAGCCAAAACGTCCTCCTCGGGGACGACAACTGAGCCTTGGGGTAGACCTGAATTCAGCAGGAGAGAAAGGTTAATCAATCTTCCTATATGAAAGGTAAAGACAAGATTAGTTCGACCTACCATGATTTTTTGCCTTCCACCATATTTAAGGGCCAGTTCTTTCCATGTGCGGGTCTCGGCCGTAGTGACATCCTAAATCTTGTAAACTCACCGGTCCAAGCCTTCAACCCTATGTAGTGTCTACCAAGTTGCTGAAATAAGTGAAAGAAGAGGGATCAGTAGCAGCATGGTGGACCTTTAACTAGAAGAAAAGACAAACGGTGAACTTATGTGTACGATTCCATAATTCCAGAAAAGATGGAGTCGTGGCCGGAATGATATCCCTGGTGGCAACTGCAAGGAACCGTTCCATCCACCCATAGATCGAGCCAGGGATAGCTCTTCTTCCGTATCCTAGCATAGACGCCGGAGACAAGCAACTGTCCTCCACATAGAAGGACTTACCTGTGCCAGACATACCTGGTAACGGATGCAGAAATCCATGATGATGGAGTCGAGCTCTCCGCTCAAGGAGAACGGTCCAAAAGTGAAGGGATGCGTGTAAAAATACGTGAAAACCTTCTTGGGTAAGGTTATCCGCTCCACCGGGTCAGGAGCGATGATGTTTAAATCATGGCAACAACAATCTTCCTTCACAGTAGGAACGCTGGAAGGACGGATGGAAGAAGGATACACGCCAACAACCCATGTGCGAGGGTTAGCGGAAGGATACTTCTCTTCGAAGTCCTTAGTTGTGATGAGTTTTCTTCAAATAATGATGCTAACCGTGGGAGGAGCAGCATCATCAGCACTACCTATGCCCTTTGAGGAACTGGGATTTCTAGAAAAAAGGCCATTTTTATCAGAAGGAGAAAAGGGTTTTTTCTGAAGAAGAAGAATAGAGAAAGTTGAAGACAAGTATGAGTTGAGCAAAGAGAGTTCGAGACAGTTTGGAAAGTTATTAAGTGTAAATGGAGAAGTTTAATGTGTATAAGTAAAGGAATATGCGGCTAAAATCGTGGCCATAATTACCTCGATAACCAGCAAAAGTGTTTCTGAATCGTGGGATGACGCGTGTTCGGGGCATTAAATGCGGAGAGACGTGCGTCTAATCAACCATCAGAAACTTTTCAGAGGGGGTCAGAGAATTTTCCACCAAAAAAAGGTATCTTTGCCAACTTCCCGGTGAAATAAGGTTATGCTACTAGAAAGCAGGGGGACTATCTGTATAGGATAAAATATGTTCATATTAAATGTTCGTATGAGAAAGCGATACATGGAGCCGAAGACAGAGGACAATCAGGTCCGAAGGCAACAATCTCGAAAAGAATGGTATTCATAAAGGCGAATTAAATAACTGCAACCCGATATCATTTAGTGGAGAGTATTTTATAGCATTAAGTGCACAGTCCGTTACAGAGAATATGGCATTCACAGCCTACCGTTACACATTCTTCAATGACCCTCATAGTTGTTATTTAAGAGGGGCATAATCCTAGGACCTTGTTCCCTAGGTACAACTGTAAATAGTAAGCTCTACGGCCATTGTAAGGGACACGAATTTTCTGACAAGCCAATACTATACTTTGTTCAAAAGCTCAATAATATTTTCTTGCTTATTAATATTGTTACTACTGCCTCCGGAAGCTCTGCTCCCGGAATCAAGATTGCTATTGTCTTATCTCGATTTCAACGCTGTCTTATATTCTTGTCTAATTTATTTATTATTTTGGGATCAAATCGATTCACTTGTCTATAAATCGCGCATAAATTCAATTATACCGTTTTACGGATAAAGAGTCTATCTTTTAAAAAATTAACCTTGAAAAACAATGTCCGAAACTTAAAACGGACAGAGTAGTATTTCTGTAGGGTTTTGTATTTTCGGATACGAGGAGGGGAAAAGTAGAGGGAAAATGAGTACAGGCAGTTCCCTGACATCGTCGCCGGCGAGGTCATCGAGTTCGACGATGGCGATGATCGGAGGAAACGCAGGGCCGTCATCGTCTTTAGCCGCTGATGACTTTAACTTCCCTACTGATCTCATCTCCATTCAAGATCGCAAAGATGAAGCTCTAAATGGTCAGTGACATTTTTTGCATTTTCTTTGTGAAAATATGTTTACGTTTTTAGTTTTCATTTGGAAGTATATTCAACTTCAAGTAATGATCTGTGTGACTGGAGAAGACCTAATTTATTTCGCAAATCAGCCGAATAACGATCTGAAATTGATTATCTAATGCAGTGGAATATTATTCTATAGCTAAAATTGATTATTTAATGCAGTGGAGTATTTAAAAATTCATTTGAATAATATTCTAATTTGAAACTCTCTTCAAATTTTTGAAGCAAAAGCCAGTAATTTATAGCCAAAAGAATTTTCCACTTGCACAGCGTGATTGCCAGTACCACATGTTTTTACTTTTGAATCTAAAACTTGGAGAACTTTTTTTTTTTTTTAACGTCTGTAGTGTGTATGTTTGAAAAAGAAAAAAAAATCTGGTGTTTCATTGGATATCTCTGATTTTCATTTTTCAAGATATGAGTGTTTTAAAACACAACATTATAATTTTCTGATTAATTGAGGGACTGTTAACAGCAGCTTTTGCATAAATTTGGTGTGCATCTCACTGTAAAGAATAACTTAAAAGTTGCAAATAGTTAAAAGGAAAAAATTGATTGATCTGATCNGGGGGGGGGGGGAATGTATCTGCACAGATGGAGACAGATGCTTTATAGTAGGGGCTGGAGGCAGCTGGCAATTGGAGTTAGGTATGGTTTGCACACAAATGTAGATGCAATGGATGTAATTTGAAGGAAGATCAAATGTAAGACCTCATTTACTCCAAATTTAGTAGCTGGAAAATGTTGATAGAGCTCAATCTTAATTTCTTATACTTTTGCATATCATTTACATGTCTATATTGTTCTACATCGAGTGAAAATAGATAATTTTCTTTGATTGTAAGTGCTTTTTCTTCTTTTTTATATCACTAGTTGGTTAAGTGTTATAGATGCTTTTTTCTCCACTAGTAAGTAAAATGTACTACTACTACTACTATCGCAGCTCTTCAGAGTTCAAAAAGGCCAGTACTTCATTATATTACTCGTTTTGTTGTTTGATAGCTTTTTCAACTGTTGTTTTAGATATATGTTGATAACAAGTTTTGAGTAAATTCACTAGTTAATTAATGAAAGAGAGTGATTACTCTGTCTGAAACAAATCTAAAGGAGCGCCATATTTCTGACTAAATGACTAAGTACCAACAATCAGTGTTATCGAAGGCGCGCTTAAGCCCTGAAGCAAGGCTCAAAATATATTAAGCGTTTCGCCTAGCTTAGTGGGCGCTTCAGCGTCGCCATTAAGGCTCTAAAGCATACTTATCCTTGCCAATGAGCGTAATCCTAACAACACTAAACAATTGATATTTTACTTTATCATAAAAATTTCTTCAATTTCTTTGTTCATATATTTGGTATTCATACTTATATATATTAGTCCTGGAATACACATATATATTTGTAGTTTTTCTCCATTTGCACCTTTCTTCGTTAAAGCCCACGCTTTATTTGCGTTTTGCACTTAAAGCCCCAACAGACCTTAGAGCTTTTTTGCGCTTTTTGCTTTTGACAACACTGCCAACAATGTTTGCATAGATTTGTATTGACAATCTAGAACAGCCAAAGGTTAAAAACTAATGGGAAGTGTATTTCAACAGGTTATGTCTATTATATTAAGGATTTTTCTCTTTTTGATAAAGCTGTTATATTAAGTACGTTTAGCATGGTGTCATATATAAGGAAGCAAGATGTTTAATTTTGTGGCTTATACTAAGAATTTTTCATCTTGTGCCATTTACTGCTTGTAAAAGGACCAAAATGGTTCATGTGACTTGCTGTTTCTATCTGGTGGAGAAAGCGTCTGGCTTCGGTTTTAGGCCATCCTTGGTTCAGCAGGTTGGGCTATAGGTCCCGCAAAAAGTGGGAGCTTTGGGGTAGCAGTGCAGCTTTATCATAGATAAAGCCGTTAAAGTTCTTAGCTCTATAGAACTTGATGATGATCATTGATAATTAGGCAAACACAAATTAAAGCTGCATTTAATGGAGTCTTTACTTCCCCTATCTGAATAAAAAAGATATTGCTAGCAGCTAGTTATTTGGCTATTTTGGTTGTTTAAACAAAAAATTTCTAGCTGAGAAAGCAAATGCCATATTTGCATTATTTTCTTGATGTAATGGACTTTGTTTTTCTAAGAAACTTTGAGTTGTTAGCTGGTGATATAGTCTGTTTCAGTTTTCATGCTGAAATCCAAAGTTATCTTGGTTCTGCTTGCAGTTCTCAAATCTGATCTGATGGCTTCACTGAATAAAGAGGTTAAATCCTTAGACGAGGATAGCTGGATGTTTGATGGACCTCGGTCTCGTATTCACATGATTTCTAGGCCAGGTAACTCGGGAAAAACAAAATGGACAATTAGGGAACTTGATGATAGTGTAACTGATGCCTTACTGCTATGCATTTACAGGCTATCTTCACAAACATGGAGAAATTAGGAAGCTTTCTAAGTTGCCCATATCAAAATGAGGAATATTTTCTTCCTTGAGAACTGTAAAACAATGTAGCTTTTATTTAACGAGCTTGTCGTAGTATAAATGTGGTGATTTACTTTGTTTTTGAAGTTTGAGTGTACAAATTTAATGTTTTAGTCCCTGTTTCTTGCTCGTTGATTTTACAATTTACTAATATGTTGCTCATACTGAATACAATGAACTAAATAAGCTTAAAGACATTAAATAATGAGGAAAAAACACTTGCTAAAGGAGAGAAAAGCAAAACTATACAAAGGCTGCTCATCCTACAACCAGATGGTATAGCATAGCAGATTGTCAGTTTTGAAATTTTACCTGATTAAAATACGAATATTATTAAAAGATAGAAAGGTAAAGAGGGTTGAGAAGCTTCTGCTTGCTGCTTGTTGTCTACTTTGTGAGCCGTCATTGCCTCGTTCTGTGACCTCCTTTCCGATCACTTTTCAGCATCATATTACTTTTCAGCATCATATTCTTTAGTCACCGATGGAAAAATGTTCCAGTTTTTCATTCTCAAATATATGAGGATGGGAATCAAGCCCTAAGTTTGAGATTTGAAAAACTGCAAATAGTAAACTTAAATTATCAAAATCATAAGCATTTTTTAAGAAAGTAAACCGTTCCAGGGTGAAAGAAGGCAGGTAAATAACAACAACAACAATAACCCAGTGTAAATCCCACAAGTGGGGTCTGGGGAGGGTAATATGTACGCAGACCTTACCTCTACCCCGAGGGGCAGAGAGGCTGTTTCCAGGAGACCCTCGGCTCAAAGAGGCGACAAGAGACACTATATTAGTATTATCAATAGAGTCATAATAGAACAACATAAAATACCATAAAATTCATAACATAAANCTCTGAATGTGCCCGAACCATCTGAGTCTTGCTTCCCGCATCTTGTCCTCCATGGGGGCCACACACACCTTCTCTCGAATATCTTCATTTCTAATCTTATCCTTCCTTGTATGCCCGCACATCCACCTCAACATCCTCATCTCTGCAACTTTCATCCTCTGGATGTGTGAGATCTTCACCGGCCAACACTCGGTCCCATACAACATAGCAGGCCTAACCACTGCCCTATAAAATTTACCTTTCAGTAACAGTGGCACTTTCTTGTCACACAGGACTCCCGTCGCTAACCTCCATTTCATCCACCCCACCCCTATACGGTGTGTGACATCCTCGTCGATCTCCCCGGACCCCTGAATAAACGACCCCAGGTACTTGAAACTACCCCTCTTAGGGATGACTTGAGAATCAAGCCTCACTTCCACTCCCGCTTCCGTCGGCTCTGCCCCAAATTTGCACTCAAGGTATTCCGTCTTCGTCCTGCTCAACCTGAAACCTTTGGACTCAAGGGTATGTCTCCAAACCTCTAACCTCTCGCTGACGCCGCGTCGTGTCTCGTCGATTAGGACTATGTCATCAGCAAATAGCATGCACCATGGCACCTCCCCCTGAATATGATGCGTTATAGCATCCATCACCAGGGCAAATAGGAAAGGGCTGAACGCAGACCCTTGGTGCAACCCTAAGATGAGTACTTTAGAAACCATTTGGGTTTTCATAAACAAATTAAATAAAATCATATCAAACATAATACACATGCATAGGTGGATATATTCGTCCATTATAAATGCACATCTACGTTCTTGAAAAATTTAACTGAAAGTAACTTTTTGTAGTGCTTAACCTTAAACTATTACTTCTAGATTATCTTCCATACTCTAGTGTTATCTTGGGAAATTTAAATATACAAAAAGTCATTATATTTGAACTGATTAACTTAAATATCATTAATTAAAGAGACTAAATTAGATATAGTTACAATTATAAATACCATAAATCTGAAATGAAGTCAGACCCCTTTATATGTTTTAAAGTTCTTTTTATAAAAGTTTTAATAACATAGGAGATATGAAAAGATGAGGACAACAGATATTAGAATTGAACCGTCACTTTTTATGTGGTAGGCTTCCCATTAATATTACTCTTGGTTCCATCCTACCAGTTATTCAGCGAGCTTTAGTTTTTAAAAATTATACAGTAATAACATTTTCTTCTAGAGAACAGCGTACAATTGCATATATGTACTTTCGAATTTAAATTTTATTTGGTTTAAGTAGAATATCATCTCAGTTGCGATAACAAACCATACTCAAGGGGAGGTGCCATGGTGCATGCTATTCGCTGATGACATAGTTTTGATTGATGAATCACGAGCCGGTGTTAATGAGAGATTAGAAGTTTGGAGACAGACGCTTGAGTCTAAGGGTTTCAAGCTAAGCAGAACGAAGACGGAATACCTCGAGTGTAAGTTCAGCGCCGAGCTGGGGGAAGTGGACGTTGATGTGAGGCTTGAGTCACAAGTTATCCCAAGTAGAGGCAGCTTCAAGTACCTTGGTTCGGTTATCCACGGGGGAGGGGAGATCGATGAGGATGCCACACACCGTATTGGGGTAGGATGGATGAAGTGGAGGTTAGCATCTGGAGTCTTGTGCGACAAGAGAGTGCCAACGATACTCAAAAGTAAGCTCTATAAAGCGGTGGTTAGACCGGCCATGATGTATGGGACTGAGTGTTGGGCCTGTTAAGAACTCACATATCCAAAAGATGAAGTAGCATAAATGAGGATGTTGAGGTGGATGTGCGGGCACGCTAGGATGGATAAGATTAGGAATGATGATATTCGGGAGAAGGTACATGTGGCTCCCATTGATGAGAAGATGCGGGAAGCGAGGCTCAGATGGTTTGGGCATGTACAGAGGAGAAGCCCAGATGCTCCAGTAAGGAGGTGTGAGCGGCTGGTTGTGGAAGGCACAAGAAGAGGTAGAGGGCGGCCTAAGAAGTACTGGGGAGAGGTGATCAGGCAGGATATAGCGAGGCTTCAGGTTTCCGAGGACATGATATCTGATAGGAAGTTGTGGAGATTGAGTATTACGGTTGTAGGCTAGGAGGTAGTTGAGTCTTGCGTTACTTTGTGTCTTTGTGAGCCTAGTCCGGTAGGGTTTTGTCTAAGATAGCTAGGGGTAATGTCGTTTCTTACTATTTTCTATTTTCAATGTAGGTTTCACTTACTAGCCATCGTTTTTGCTTTGCATTTTTCTTCTGCATTTTATGTTCCTATTTTTCCTATGATCTCCGTGATGAATCTAATACTCTCCTTTTGTCTTTTTATTATCTTGTGCCGAGGGTCTTTCAGAAAAAGTCTCTCTACCCTTTCGGGGTAGGGGTAAGGTCTACGTACACACTACCCTCCCCAGACCCCACTTGTGGGATTCTACTGGGTTGTTATTGTTGTTGTTCGTACGTGTTAAATGTTTCTTCATATTTTGGGAGTAGAATATATAGTTGCAGAAACTAAAAATATTGTTCCTTGCTTTAAGAAAATAATAATAAAGAATGTATAATACCATTAATTAAGCCTTTTTAATTATGTATTTACTAGTAGTTGCCATTGTTAAATTACTTGGGTGCATTTAGGAAATCCATGTAGACGAATAAAGCACTACGCTAGCGGAGGAAATTACGTACCCTCTCCTCGTCAAAAAAGGATTTAATAATTTGGAAATACAAAGTTACCGATAAAATTTATACTAACAACCCCTTGGCGCCTACTTTTAGGAAAGCTTCTCCACATCAAATAAGGGTTTTCTATAAATTCGCTACCATAAGTTATTTTACACAATCATTCATTTAGCTTAACAGAGAAAGAGGAAAGTGAGAAGAGGAACAATGGAGTGGAAAAAGCTTTTTGTTCTAGGTGCGGGGTCTTACGGCAAAATGTATCACACAATGAAAATCGATTCGCATTTTTATTATGCGCTTCAGTTAAAGCGTGCAGATCTCCCACGTTCAATTTCACTCCAAAGAGAAGCACGTAAGCATCGAGAACAACATATGTTCAAGCTTACAATTTGTTTCTTGAATATGCATGTGACGATTTGATCAATTTAAAGAGAGGAAAGATGTCAGAATTGGAAATAGGTTTCTATGCATATAAACTCTTAAAGGTTATTCAAGATGTTCATAAAAGAGGGTGGGTTCATTGTGATATTAAACATGCTGTTTTGGTTTTCGATGCTAATGAACGTGGCATGCACCAGTTGAAGTTGGCTGACTTTGGATTGTCACTGAGAATTGGTGATGGAATTAATGGCTTATTGTTTACCTCGAAAATATGAGTAACAATTAAATTTAATTAGTGATTTTAAAGATATGTGATTTAGTTCAATATCAATTGATAATCAAGAAATATAAAGTAGAAATAAAAGATAGAAGTGAATCAAACCAATGTTACTCAGCAGCAGTGACCTCGAGGTGGCTCAGGGCAGTAAGAACAATTAAACAATAAAAATAAAATAAGAACAATGGAGCTAAAAGACAATGCTGATGAACAGTAGGCAAAAAGGTAGAAAATATATTCTTTTCTCAGTGATGATATGATATCCTACAAATGATTGGGGTCCCCTTTATATAATAGGGGAGCGAGCCCTAAATAAGGAATATTTCTATTTATAGTAAGGAATATTCTCGGTACAGCTGTCTAACCACTGTCACACCTCCATTTTACCACCCCGAAAGATGATATAAGGGAGTTTTTTCCAATTAAAGTGACATTATTCGAAATGAGATTATTTATTTATTTTTATCAGAGTCGCCACTTGGAATAAATTATAGTATCCCAAGTCACCAGTTTATTTTAAATCCCGAATTGAGGAAATTTCGACTTTCCTTTTGAAGTCTGCGAACCAGAAATTCTAAGTAAGGAATTCTGTTAACCCGGGAGAAGGTGTTAGGCATTCCCAGGTTCCGTGGTTCTAGCACGGTCGCTTAGCAATTTATACTTGGCTTTATTGTTTAATTACTCATTTTTAAAACCTATGTGCAATTATCTTTTTATCACTTTTAAATCACTTGAATTATGCGTAATTAAAGAATTGAGTTACGCGTACGTATACTCTTTTCTTTTGGCGCGTCAAAATCATGTCACGCGTACGTGTCCACAATCAATAACGCTTTGTTTATTTTATTAAGACAAGTTTGGTTGAGGTTGCGCAAACGCATACCTTGATTTTAGCTTGGAAAATCATAACTATGTCACGCGGACGTGTACATAATCAAAAAAA